TTGTTGTATTTTTGTGAACTCGTGCAGAAAGAGTATATTTGTCCTGAAGTTTTCAGGAAATCTGCATTTTTTTCACGATTTTTTAAAAGCAAAAAATCTTCATGAAACTTGCAAGCAAAATGTAAAATTACTTCAAATTTTTACAAAAACAAACATTAGGAAAGCCTCTATATCACACTACTGAATGTTCGAAAGCGGATAACGCTTACCTTCCAGTAGTTTTTTTTTTCTTTCTTGAGCCAGCTTTCCCCATTGCTGAGCTGAAATTGGCTAACAAAGTTCACTCGCTTCCGAACACACATACATGCAGAAGGTTCTCGACGATATACGTTTTTGCATTTGCATAAGATGCAAAAATGCATAAAAAGCAGCGATATGCAAAATTATCTCAGTAACTGTTTGTATTTTTTTTTGTCTTTGTATTTTGTATTTTCGACTGTTTTCATGGTTTCGTGATAAAATTCAATTACTTGTGTTGTGTTCTCGAAAATTCTTAAAATTCTTAAAAAGTATTTACAGTTGGTAAATTTCAATAAAATTGGTTGAAGAAACTTTTTTGGCGATTGTTGGGCGTTTTGTAATTAATCAATGTCCATACCAAAATTGCCACAACCGCTTAAACAATCATCATCCAATGTTAATGATGTTACTGAAATCTCACACGCCAATAGCCCTTTGCCGGGTCCTTCAGTCTTGAGTTGCGTATCCACGGGATATCCTCTGTTTGCTTTGATCTCCAAGGCCGAGCGGGAGGAGGGAAGGGGTGGAAGGTTGATTTTTTAGTTCAAGTAGAAAATTAACATATATGTTCTTGATCAGAGGGCACAACTCTATCTCTCCATCCTTTTGATTACATTGGAACTTTTGCTGAATTTTAATGTCATTAGTTGCGAAGGCTTTAAAAAACTTATTCGTTTTTGTCACGTGTCCGGGACGGTACTGTATTCGTTGTAAATGTTTCCTCATTTTTTTTATGATAAGTATGTTGCGATGAAATCGTGCTTGCACGTCGGGATGAGTCTGTCCACATAATTTTATTTCGAAGCTGTGCAATTTATGACATGCGCGTTTGCATGTCCTTTTGCATAATTCAGCATCGAAAACTGCATAAGCTCGGTACGTAAAGTTCCTAGAACATAAGCTTGTAATTTTTGTGGTTTTAGGCCCCAAATCAGCAGCGGCTGTCAGAATCCATGTTTATTCCGTAAATGCTGACCAAAAATCTGTTTTGATCTTACTGTGTCAACATT